GTATGCTTCCTCATTACGAATACACCGCAGGAGGTAGACATAAGCTGGGGAAAACCTCGGTTCCAACACATGACTGATATATATAATCCAACCTGATCTAGGCATGGCTCAGCGATCAGATAATTCATTGATATGTATTAATTAGAAAAAAAACGAGAATACAGAAGTGCCAACAAAAACCATAAAATTCGTACTCAAAAGTGTTAAAACTAGTTGAAAATATGAACAAAGGAAAGATTTACAGGGAGACCCTTGAAAAAGTACAAAGAGAATAAGACCAGATGCTCCTGAAGGGTAAACGTCTGCTTCATTGACAACACCCGCCATGTGAACCAAGATCAAATCCAACTACTGCCACGTCCGCCCATCGGAAACTCTGTAGCGACAACAAAATCACGCATTCTGATGAGCAAAATCAAAATCATCGACATTCCAATCGCACAAAGAAACAGTACAATGTATCTTTCCCTGCGAGATCCTGATTGCAACCATGCGTTGTATGTTTTCCGTCAGCAGTAAACATCCATCACGGAAGAAATGTATTCGAAACAAGCTCTTGTTTACCTAGTCAGTTTCCATATTTAACAACCGTAGGTAGGGGAAGCAGGGTTGTTACTATCAAAAAAGGAAACGTTAACGATCGAAAGGTCAAATCGACCCCCTTTTAATACAGCTTAGTTGTAAGCCGTCCCTGTTTGTTATCTTGCAAGTGAAGATAGAAAGCGGCTGAATCAAATAAAGTCTGCGATGTCATTAACTGGAATATGTCAAAGCAAAATTGAAGGCACGCGTCTGTCTATTTGATTGGTGTCGGGTAAAAAAAAATCCTGACCAACCACTATAGGCTGTTGCATGTTCTTTGAAGATTACAGAGGAGATTACTGAGCCTTCAGTTTTGCTATGACATATTCCAGGGGTGTAGAGAGCGAAAGTGAGAGTAACCCCTGGATATCGAGGATGGCTCCCTGGACGAAGAGAGCGAAAGTGAGCGTAATCCCTGGTTATCGAGTATGTAGAACAGTGCGTAGAGATTAAAACGGACTAATATCTGTTGGTACAAGACGCCCTTCACAGTCTAAACCATACCACACAGGAGTAGACTAGAGGTCTAAAGCAAAAGATGATATATGAGCTTACACGAACTGGAGAATTCTTTATCACGTATAAGGCACAACAGCAAATTGTACTCCTTGCTAGAGAATTAAATTTTCCCGTTGGACTGAAAAAAAAACTTCGAAGGGGGATGTATTGTTCCGAAGCTTTGATAGATTTATCGATATCGTAACAGTCTTACATAGATAACAGCCTCACACGACTAGGAATGGACCATACAGAGGGAACAAACACACTGGACCTTGTATTCACCAACACACATTTCAGATGTGTGAGATCACAACAATGTCATGATCTACTTGGTACAATCCCAATCAACACAAAATACTGTTATTTAGTGAGCTAACTGGGGCAGCTTCTCAACGGCACCGGAATCCTCTCTCCAATAGGTAACTGACATGGCCTTAGAATGCAGTGTAAAACAGAAGACCAAGGAAGAGTAATCTACCATCCAAGATCAGTAAGAAAATGAATAACCTGTCATATCTATCACAAGAAATATAGAAGATGACAAAGGGACGAGTACACCAGAAAATGAAGTATCCACATAAAATCCCGAGACGTCAACAGAAAGATACAACCGTTCTCGAACAGGAATATGGGGACCTAGGGAAAACATTACAGAGGGACATAACACCGAAACTCGAAGCATGAAGAGATTTTGGTATTTTAAATCATCTATGAAGAACGATAAAAGGGACAAAACATTCATAACATGTAACGAAGGACGGCATCGTTGACCCGAAACAGAAAGCCTAACTGATAAACCAATAATTAAATAAGAACATGATATCGACCCAACTTTTCAACCGGTAGTCACCTCTCTCCACAATGGACAATATCAAGAGCATAGGGCATGCAGTTAGACAGATACTGGTGGTAGGCCCAAACACCATCAGTCCCCGTATACTGGCCAAGTCGATCTCCGCGGTACTCACCATCATATACAGTAAGTCATAAAATCGTGGCCCAGACACCATCAGTCCCCGTATACTGGCCAAGTCGATTTCCGCGGTACTCACCATCATATTCAGGAAGTCATAAGTTCGTGGGCCCAGACACCATCAGTCCGCGTATATACAGGACGTCATACAAGACCAACACAATCTCCGATGATTGAAAGATAGCTAATGTAGTATACATATATCATCATAGTAACATTATGCAACATTGGAGAGAAAACAGTATCCTCTAGGAACTACAGCATTGATTTCGCGGCAAAAGATCCCAGGATGGAGCACAGGGACCTGGGAATGTGTTACAGCTACATATGGACCTAAACTAAGGTCCAAATATAGCTGTACCAAATTTTTAGGTCCATGTGATATGGAGTACTGCAAGAAACGTGATGAACAGGTAGCATAATGTTCACCACCAGCATGGCAGGTAGGTATCTTGAAGGACCTTAGGATGGACTTTACTGCAGACCCAACTAAGACATCACAAAATGGCCAATGTGTACTACAAACTAACCCATGGCTTGGTTGCAGTCAACAAAGAAAGGTACCCGACTCGGCCAGCCTGGTGCAGCAACGGGACGACTACGTACCTCTACCAGAAAACTTTACTACCATTCGGTCAACTGACTGCCACCAGAACTCCCTCGTTTAGCGGAACACTGCAGTCTGACCATTCAGTGATGTTCTGGAGAGGGTGACAGCGGAGTGCTAGGCTGTACTACTTCTATGTAGTTTTAACCTTTTATCCTGAACAAATAGCCCACTGAGAGGTAAACGCTCATCTCGGAAAAAGAAGATCATCTGATGTGAGAGAGTGTGCTACAACTGTTGTAAATATCACATGTATGGTTCTGTAAAGATGTATAATTCCGTGGTAAAACATATCGCATCCTGATCAGTACACAGTGGAACATGTCACGTACATCTGGCGGTAAATAGTGAAACCTGTTTCACAAACTTGTTCTTATGACATCATTCTAGGTTATCATTTAATAACTATATGACTGATGAATAAATCAAGGTATGATGCCGTACTGATTGTTCCAAAACACACCCCGTCACCTACCTATTGGTGGAACCCCTTTCACTCTCCCTCTGGACATGTGCAACGATGTGGATCGTTAGCTATTTTTCAATAAAAAAGATTTTAAATACAACTTTTTGATACTTCTAAATTGTTTCACAATTTCATTTTAAATTTCTATCTAAACATCTATTTTTGTAAAAAGAAATACCAAATGTTGCGTTTTAGGCGACTTTTAGATAGCGCTTTACACATTTAATCAATATGCTTTATATACCTGGCCAACATGACGGACAGACAAAAGATTGTAATGTCAGTGTGATCTGATGTTAAAAATAGGGCCTACAGATTTGTTTATCGTAAAATATGCGTTTCAAAGAGCTGTATTGGTGTCCCGTTCGCGCTTTTCTAAAGGTATATATGTAATTAGTGTAGCACATCCTATGCGCCCGCGATAAGGACATTGTGGTGAGGGAATTTATTTAAAGTTACAGATAAATTGATGCAATAAATGTGTTTAGGAATTACTTCTGTTGATGCTAATTATAAAACAATTGAGCAAAAACAAAGTTTAATGAGGTACTTTCTAATACATAATTGACAGAAATTCGATTCCATACTGATACCAATTCTGTTTTAATTTCTATCAATTGAACACGTATATCATGTTTGTATATCTGGAATATTATACTGATAATAAAATAAAGTTTATACTAATTGAACAGGTTGCATCCATATCTTCTTGGAAATTCACTGAAAGCCATAAGGTATTTTTGTTCTTTCCAGCGAACTGGTCTGTAAACAAAGTAATTCTTTTATACAGCACTCTCTAGTTTAAAGTATATCATCATTATTTATACATACAGCTTCCATGTTATCTTATAATTTCTGCGTCGTTTACTTTTGCAA